CCAATGTAATCAATTAGACGATGTAAATTATGCTATCTCTGCTATACTAAATTGGTTCACATGTAATAATCTATTATTGAACTCCAACAAAACTAAGTGCATTAAATTCACGCTGCCTAATGTAAAACAAGTAAATACGCAGCTATTGCTTAATGATGAAATAGTAAATTTTGTTAATGATACAGTTTTTTTAGGAATAACAGTGGACTCGAAGTTACAACCCCATATTTCAAAATTAGCCAGTAGACTTAGTTCTGCTGCTTATGCAATTAGAAGGATAAGGCAATTAACAGACGTGGCGACGGCAAAACTTGTATATTTTAGTTATTTCCATAGCATTATGTCATATGGCATACTGCTATGGGGTAAAGCTGCCGATATAAATACTATATTTATTTTACAAAAGAGAGCCATACGTTCTATTTATGGTATGGGTTCTAGAGAGTCATTACGTCAATGCTTTAAACAATTAAATATCCTCACCGTTGCCTCACAGTACATTTATGAAAATATTATGTATACAAGGAAAAACTTAGATAGTTTCAAGAAACTTAAAGACTGTACAAGTAGAAACTTACGCAATAAAAATAGGCTAATTTTACCTAAATGCCGTCTACACAAAGTTAGTAATTCATTTTATGGTAATTGCGTAAGATTCTATAATAAACTGCCAGAGTCTACGCTAAATCTTACTCTCTGTAAGATTTAGCGTAGACTCTGCAATTCAAATCTTATATTAAACAAATGTTATGTAAAAAAGCCTATTATAAGATAGATGAATTTATAGATTATAGCAATATATAGCAAGAATAAGTTTATTTGCGGACAACGTTATAATTTTAATTTTCATACTGCTTTCTTGATATATGATAGCGTAGCGGCTTTTGTATTGATTGCCGCATGCATCCTTATGTAAAGTGCGAATACTGTAACTACCATATAGTTATTTTTGTAGCTGTGACGTGGTCGTGTGGAATGAGTAGTCATGCTCACTAAAATGTCCAGACATGTGGCGGCGTGGTGGGCCGGGTCAATGGGCTCCCTAAAATATGGTCGAGCGCAGTGATGGCTGGCTCATCCGTCATACTCGTGAACGAGTGCTGCTTGTAGGGACTGGTCTGCTCTTATCACTACGACTGATTTAATCTTATTGCATGATTATATTTGACCCAAAAAATTAGTGCTTGTTGGTAGTTTGTATTCACACGTTTCGACTTGTAAATGTAAACTTACAAGGATTATTTAAAAGAGCAACACACAAGTTTCTTGCTCGTTCTTCTTGTGATGAGACAGCTTTCCGAACGAGTGGTAGATTAAAAACAAATTGTTATGACTATTCAAAAGTGCTTAAATTAAGTTTATTTGAATAAATGATTTTCTATTCTATTCTATTCTATTCTATAAATAATGACAGCGTCAAGTTTAAAACAGTATATAATCATAAAAATTAAATACTATTATATATACATATCTACGGAACCTCTACATAAATCTGGGACAAATTTATCCGCTTGTTTTCATTGTCATTTGTAGAGAATACTTTAACTAGTAACCAAAGGACAAGTTCGTTAAATATTTAGTTGCCTATAATGAAAACGCACCCAGTGTCCCGAGGGTCTCGTAGCGCTACGATCGCTACGAATTCGCTACGGGTGTGCTACGGACGAGCTACAACCGCTACGAACACCGCGGCGTAGACGCCACGCCTTCTAATATTATACACTTGCGAGCAAAAATATGAATCAATTAATTGGAACTGATTCTGATAATAAAAATTGGAGTGTCTGTTTGTAATATTGAAATAACCGTTTTTTACTACATGCAGATTCCGCGCGATCTGGAGTACTTAAAAACTAGTTAAAAATAATAAGAATAATACCATTCGAAAGGTTAAACTGTTAACTTTAAATTGATATCAAATTCATTTAAATCACACCAGTATTTAAGAAGTTATCCGGGATTGAGTGAAGGAGTAAGTTAACTCGTATACATGCAAGCGTTATCGGATTTTTTTTATCAGTCGGCTTTGGGGCCGTTCAAGTATTACGTAGGCACTATGGAGGGGGGGGGGGAGTCTGGTGGATGTGTGGTGTGACAAAAATGGATAAGATAAAGAATGAATACATTAGAGGAAGTATGAAAGTGACGCCGGTGTCGGAGAGGTTGAAGAGTAATCGTCTATCATGGTATGGACATGTAATGCGTAGGAACGAGGATAATATTTTAAGAAAGGTGTTACATATGAATGTGGGTGGTTATAAGGGCAGAGGAAGGCCGAAAAAGAGATGGATGGACTGTGTGAAAGATGATATGGTAAGAAAGGAATTAAATAACGCGATGACTGCGAACAGGGATGAATGGAAGAGAAAAACATATTACGACGACCACAAATAAATGGGATAAGGAAGAAGCAGATGATATGGGGGGGGGGGTCTTTGCTTTGTTTATTTTGGATGACATGGGTATACCCCCATGGACCCCGGGGAGGCTATATGATTACGTCATCGGTAGTTATTTACTTTTTTACACGAATTGCATAATTGAAAACTGTTTACGTAAGCATGGGGGGAGGGGGTAAGAGCTTTGCTTACTTTTGCTGACAAGGGGGATGGGGGGGTAAATAATTGTAATAAATCTGCTTACGTAATACTCAAATAATAATATTATTTGAGCTTGCGTGTAACAGCCTAGACCACATCATCACTGCGGTCAAACGCGGTCAAATTTTAATATAAAAACAAAAAAAACGGCCCCTTTCACACGTTGACCAGCACACGTTTTTGTTACTTTTAACCCTTGAACTTAGACGATATTTTTATTATTCTTAACTACTTATTAAGTACAGTTAAGTATTAAGTAGCTGCACCCGCAACTTCCTCCGCGTGAAATTTAACTTTATTTTTCTATATAAAATAAAAGTAGCCTAAGTTGCTCCTTATTACATATGCTACCTGCCAATAAAAGTCCCGTCAAAATCGGTCCAGCCATTTCAAAGATTAACCGGAAGAAACAGACAGACAGACAAAAATTGTAAAAAAATGGGTGTATGTACCGTATTTATATCCTATCTTCCAAGATACAGAAATCAGGTGGGCCCAGTACTAATGTTACTACAGATCTGTATCTAATAAACTGAATATTTAATCTAAATTTAGTAGATATAGCATAAACATTGAACTGATAAAGCTTTTGATTGTATTATCATATTTTCGACCTTGAGTCATAATAATCTTAAAGTACATAATACGTTTATATTACTCGCATAGACTTTATATTTATTTATTGCAATATTTAAAATATATGTATAACTAGCTGTACACGCGACTTTGTTCGCGTGGAATTTAACTTAATTTTTCTAAAATAAAAGTAGCCTAAGTTACTCATTATTAGATTAGCTACCTGCCAGTAAAAGTCCCGTCAAAATCGGTCCAGCCATTTCAGAGATTAGCCGGAACAAACAAACAGACAGACAGACAAAAATTGTAAAAAATGTTATTTTGGTATTTATATCGTATTTGTACTCATATGCATGTAGTAAAAAACGGTTATTTCAATATTACAAACATACACTCCAATTTTATTAATATTTTTAGATCTTATTGGCAATCTTAGTGCCAAATGCCATGCCTAAAATACCATCCTGATCATCTGGATGAATGGCGGTTCTCAACAGTGCGGTTTTCTAGAAACTTTTTGCCACAATTTTTATATATAAAGATGATAATAATAATAATAATAATCTCAAGACAATTCACACAGCGCCGTCTTGACCCAAAAGCTTGTGTTATGGGTACTAGACAACTGATACAAATACATAGATATATATTTTTTTTCTTAAATACTATGCATAGTAATACTATGCATAGAAAACACCCAGACCGATACAAACAATCATACTCATGAATACAAATGTTTGTACCGTGCGAGGAATTGAACCCGCGACCATCGAAAAGGCGGTGCGCTAAACCGCTAGACCACTGAGGTCGTCAAAAGTTCACATTTACCTATGTTAGGTAAAAAAGGTACACTTTTGAGTGTGCTTTTACCCATGACTACCTTCTTCTTCTTCTCTACCATGACTACCTACTTCTGAATGCCAATGGTTAGCTGCTAGAGAATGTCATATTTTATAACACAGATGACAAACGAGCATGCGGCTCACCTGATGGTAAGTGATTACCGCCGCCCATGAGCACCCGCAACACCAGGGGAATTGCAAGTACGTTGTCGGCCTTTTAAAAAGGAATAAGCTCTTTTCTTGAAGGTTTCAATATCGTATCGGTTCGGAAATACCATTGCTGGAAGGTGATTCCACAACGTGGTTGTGCGTGGCAAAAAGTGTTAGTGTTCTGAATTGGGCTGTCTTTGAAAATAAGTTATAATTGTTGCGTATATATACAGAATGTTTGAATATATACTCATATATATAATAGAGTTGCCAGCCGTCCTATTTTCCCAGGACACGTCCTAGTTTTTGTAGTGTCCTGAGGTGTACTGGATAGTTTTTAAGCATCGTCCTGAGTCGTCATTTTAAATATCTGCGCGCCATTTTTGTAATACCTGCTCGAATTGTAGAGATTTTTTAAAATACTTTTAAGTATTAAAGACTGATTATTACCATTACTTGAATTTTATTAATTTAACATATTGACATTGTATAATAATATAATTATAACAAGTATATTACTGAGTCCTGGTTTTAAACTAAATTGTCCTGGTTTTTCCAATTTCAAATCCCAGTTTTTTTAGTTTGGTTGGTGCAGCCCTAATATGTAGAGAAGCAACGGTGTAACCTAATTATATCGACTATAAATCGAGATGTGCATACCCTGTCGGTATGTAACAATAAAAGAAAGAGCGGTGCGTGCATCCACAGTGCGTTGCCATTTCGAAAATAATTCATTGCGCCTCGGAATGAGGTCACGGCACCGCGTGAAGTGAGCGCGATGCGCCGCGCATCGGCGTGAAGTGAGGGGCGGAGTGCGCGCGCCGACCGACCGCCCAGTCCACACCACGCACCAAAACCTGAGCCTCACTAAAAAAAAATACAAAAAATACTCAAAATCAAGGCGTGTGCTGGATTCGAAGCTGCATGTAATAAAGCCGTAGCATGTCCGGCGCCGCGCCGCGCTCGCGTACCACCGACTGGTGATGTACAATATGATCCTGCACTCTGATGAGACCTAATTCGTTTTAGTGTAGTTAACTCGTATGTATCGTGCTGTGTATAGATAGTGTTGTATTATTGGAGTGTTATATGTGACGTGTTATATACCTAATTGATTTTACTGAGCCTGCACACTACCCTATGTAAGTATCTAATATATTTAATTTTTATTAAACGAGCCATTTTTTCGATTTATTTATTTACGCCTAATAGTCGTGCAAGGAAGTTTTTATACTCATTGAAAATAACATTTTCATGAAAGTTTTTAACTCTCTCTGTTTAGGAGTAATATATCTATTTGTTAATAATATAAAAATTAAATTATAGGTCTTTTTTTAATTTGTTAAAACTTCAATTTCAGCAACGGACCTGTGTTAAACATTATTAATTATTTACAGGCTTTTGTATGTGTAATAATAATCTGGTTAGGGGTTAATAGCACCCTGAGGGATGCTCGTAACAGATAACCGGATTCGTTTTAGACATCGGTATATCGGTACATCGGTACATCGGTACTGCACATGACGTTGTAGATACTGCGTCGGTTATGTGATCTCAGAGGACTTTCATTATTAATTAATTATTTGAAATGAATGAAAAAAATTAAAATTGTTTATTTCTTTAAAAAATATTTCAGTTACAATAATATAGTGTATGACCTGTGTCAGGGGTAGAAATGACTGTGTCAGATACATCCCGCTCTTCCATATACATTGTTATATGTGTTTTTTTTTATTATTTATTCATTTAATATCACATTTTATGATACATAACATTTTAATAATAAGACTTATAGTCTAAGATTAAAGAGATACATTATTGATAATAAAATGAACAGAAAAAACTCAATTTAATATGTACCAGTATCCTATCTCTAGATGTATAAATATTTTGTTTTACTGTACAGAAAAAAGAATAGAAAAAAAGTAATAATAAACCAGCAAAAGCTGAGAAAATGCGACAATAGTGTAAATAATGTTAATATATTTATTTGTCAGAGTATGGTATGTACAATGGTATGTAATGTAATATTTATGGTGGTAATTATATATGATACTAGCTGTACTCGCGACTTCCTCCGCGTGGAATTTAAGTTTATTTTTCTAAAATAAAAGAAGCCTAATTTAATCCTTATTACATCAGCTACCTGCCAATAAAAGTCGCGTCAAAATCGGTCCAGCCATTTCAGAGTATAGCCGGAACAAACAGACTGAAAAAAATGTTTTAAAATGTTATTTTGATGTATGTAGTATTTATATTCATATGCATGTAGTAAAAAGCGGTTATTTCAATATTACAACAAGACACTCCAATTTCATTTATATGTATAGATAAGTTTCATCATATTCTGCTGTTTCCAGCGTACAAATATTAGTTCTTTTTTTAATGTTTCGATTAAAAGAAATCTTTTTTAAAAATAAAAAATTCTTTCAGTAAATCTTTAAGAATAACTGTAATCCATAAATAATAAAAAATAAAAAAATAGATCATCTGTGTTTCAAACCTTTATCAATTAACACGGCGCAGTTAATTGAAACGGACCAGTAAAAATACCACGATAATGTGACGATAAAATTTCACATTGTTTTTATTCGAATTACTGCCAATTCGTTTGATGTTCTCGTTCCAGGGGATCACTCTTGTTATTGTAGGTGTAGGTTATTTGTCGTCATAATACGTACCTGTAAATTGTATACCGCGGTATAACAACAGTCATATCATTACGTTAATGCTTGTTACTATGGTAACTAACTTTGAAGAAAATTCAATTCAATGTTTAGAAATTTGTGATGAAATTAAATTCAAATTCAAAAATCATTTATTCATGTAGGACATTTTAGCCGCTAATTGTGGTGGGTTCGATTTCTCGCACGGTACAAACAATTGTATTTATGACTATAATTGTTTTGGTCTGGGTGTTTTCTATGTATCTATACATATAAATAAAATTTTAGTGTCTGTTTGTAATATTGAAATAACCGTTTTTTACTACACGCATATGAATATGAATACTGTACATACACCAAAATAACATTTTCTATAATTTTTGTCTGTCTGTCTGTCTGTCTGCTTGGTCCGACTAATCTCAGAAATGAATGGTCCGATTTTGACGACGACTTTTTTAGCAGGTAGCTGATGTAATAAGGAGTTACTTAGGCTACTTTTATTTTTGAAAAGCAAAGTTAAATTCCACGCGGACGAAGTCGCGGGAACAGCTAGTATTATATATGTTCATAATATTAATAAGTAATAAGCATACGTAAATATGAACACTGTAAAGCAGGAAATACAATCCTACAGTAAAAGCTACCAGTCTTTACCACTTTTATTTTAGAAAACTAAAGTTAAATTCCACGCGGACGAAGTCGCGGGTACAGCTAGTAAAAAATAAAAGATAAATACGAAGTTGCAAGTAGCAGCGATTCTTATTAAAATTGTATGGAGTAGAGTGGAGGAAACATTGAATTTTAAACATTTTATAACTCGGTCGGAATATATTAATATAAAATTCACTGTAAAAACATTTAATCTGAACTCTCAGCTGAAACTTCGTATTTACAATAGTAGGTACATTATTATTATATTACATACCTTCTAGATTTAAAATACTGCTATACTGAATAGAGTATCCTATAGAGCAGTGGTTCCCAAACAGTTTATGCTGCGTACCACTTCGAAAAAGATCTCAAACCTTGCCAAGAAGTGGTCTTATTCTTTCGTTCAACGGCAACTAAATACATATATTCCCCAGAATGCCGCGACGACCCTTGCGCATTCCGTCGCATTTTTAGGTCTTCCTTTGAGCAGGAGCTGGGCACAAAGGACAAGTCTATAGGTGTACCATAGTCTGGGATGGCGCTCCGCAGTCACAAGCCTCCCTTGAAGCAGCACTTTACCAAGTTGTACCTGCAGTGGCCCATCTGGGGTTCGTAGTCTGTTGAGCGATTTCCAAATGAGCCATTGCAGGTCCTTACCTGGGGGCAGGTGTACCCCTTATTGTAGCAATCACACTAATATTATAAGTGTGAAAGTTTGTGAGCGTGTGTGTTTGTTTGTTTTACTGATAGCCGCACGTATCTCTGGTACGCGTACCACTAATTGGGAAACACCGCTATAGAGTATTGTAGCTTTGGTCTACCACTCCGACTTGGACTGTTCAAAATCTACCGTGTACCATCGTAAGCACAGATTATTATATTAGAGTCCGTTAGTTTCTGTTCCCCTCCCTTACCTATGACAGTACTGAACTGACCGTACGGCGGCAATGACGCGCGCGCGCCTTTGTTATGAATTAAAATAAATTGGAACTGTGTTAAACCTACTGTGAAACTGGAAAGCTAGCGAAGATATCTTCCAGACCCTGAACCATACAGGTACGTGACAGACGTTTCCACATATTTTCCCTAACAGTGGTCTACCACTCCGACTTGGACAGTACACTATATATTTTACCGCTCATTCGGAAAGTTGTGACCAGTATCATTACGAAGAAACCGGAAACTCTGGCTTCTTATGATGCTAATCTTAATCTCTAAATATATATAACTTAAAGGTGACTGACTGACATAGTGATTTATCAACGCACAGCCCAAACCACTGGACGGATCGGGCTGAAATTTGGCATGCAGGTAGATGTTATGACGTAGGCATCCGCTAAGAAGGGATTTTGATTAATTCTACCCCCAAAGGGATAAAATAGGAGTTGAAAGATTGTATGAAACTTTGTCAATTTTAAACCGATCGGGCTGAGACTTTGCATGCATAAAGCTACTATGACGTAGGCATCTCCTAAGAAAGGATTTTGATAAATTCCACCCCTAAGGAGATAAATTAACGAGCGACCGCGGGCATAAGCTGGTATATAATAAACACCTAGTGAAATACAACTAGCCCTACGAAAACTTCTGCTGTATCAAATCGCAGCTGAAGTCAATATGTTAATAAAAGATAATAATGTCAGTGAAACAAATTAAATGAAAAAAAGCTGTCTCATCACAAGAAATGAGTCCCTTGTACTGCTCCACTAGTTACCATCCCTCAGTTAGTTATATTAAACTTGCTGTTTGCATAAAAAGTGTAATAAAGCTCGCTATTCATGACAGCGGCCTGCAACCGGGTCGCGACGACACACGCGCCGATATTACGGACGCGACCGCTCTTAGAATAATTGATTTTTTTTATGAAATTAGAATTTTTATATACAACTAGCTGAACAGATTTCATTTAAAGAATAAAAAATATATTTTTATTTTATACTAGCTGTTAATAGTAGTAGTAGTACTATTTTTCTAAAATAAAAGTAGCCTAAGTTACTCTTTATTATATTAGCTGCCTGCCAATAAAATTCCCATCAAAATCGGTCCAGCCATTTCAGAGATTAGCCGGAACAAACAGACAGACAGACAAAAATTGTAAAAAATGTTATTTTGGTGTATGTACCGTATTTATATTCATATGTGTTTAGTAAAAAACGGTTATTTCAATATTACAAACAGACACTATAATTTTATTTATATGTATAGATTATTTATGTGATATTGTATGTATGGTACATATAAAGTTACTAGCTTTTGCCCGAGGCTTCGCTCACGTTAATTTATCCCCTTAGGAGTGGAATTTATCAAAATCCTTTCTTATGGGATGCTTTCGTCATAGTAGCTTTATGCATGCGTGGTTATATGCTATGTCAGTCGCCTTCGAGTTATATATATTTAGATTATATCTATAAATCTAAACTTCGTCCCTTTTATAATAAGTCTGTACAGATATTTTCTTGAGAGAAAGTGAAAATTTCAGCAGGTAGAGACGTAATATTCAGCTGTATGTAGCATGAGGTATGATGCTGCTCATAGCTGCATCGTGTTCAACGAGGTGATGTTCCTGGCAGATAATAAAACGTGAGCCACTCCATCCGACGAGATATCGTGGACCAGGGATGTTAGGGTGCTCCGTAACCGTAACCGAAACTATCGGATATCCGATATAGAATAATATCCGTAACCGTAACCGAATCCGAAATAAAAGTTTCGGATAATATCGGATAGGGGCGGAGCCTAATAGAAACACGTTACGTAACCATTTTATTAGCTACTAGCTTTTGCCCGCGGCTCCGCTCGCGTTAATTTATCCCCTTAGGGGTGGA